AGCTTTAAAAAAGCAAAACCAAAAGGGTAAGAATTTCTCTAAAAACTATGAGGTGATGATATAGCTATAGAAAAGGATCCATTAGCCTAGCAGAGATCAAAAAGAGCAAACCATTTGGGAAAGGAAGGAAGAAGAAGAAGAAGAAGTAAGAGGCAAGAGGACACAGAATAAGAAAATTTTTTAAATGAGTGTATCAAAAAGTCACCAGTGATTAACAACACTCACTACTCTGTTGCTCTCCTTGTGGAACTCCTGTCCCCTCTAGGTCTTTCTATCTCCCTCTTCTTCCATAAGATTCCTTGAACTCTGTCCAAAGATTGGCTATGAGTCTCAGAATCTGCTTTAATACCCTGCTGGGTAGAGTCCTTCAGAGTCCCTCTGTGGTAGGCTCCTGTCCTCTTCTTTGTCTTTGCCCACTCCCTATGTGTATCCTATTTGCCCTTTGAATGAGGATTAAACATCTTCTAAGTATTCTCATTGTTGTTTAGCTTCTTCATGACTATAGATCTTAGTATGTTTATTCTATATTATATGTCTAATATCTACTTCTAAGTGAGTATATACCATGTGTGTCTTTCTGCTTCTGAGTTATCTCACTTGGGATGATCTTTTTTGTTCCATCCAATTGCCTGCAAATTTCATGATTACCTTGTTTTTAATTACTGAGTAGTATTCCATTGTGCAAATCTACAGAGACTGATACACCAACCAAGGACCATGCATGGAGAGGACCTAGACCCCCTGCTCAGATGTAGCTCATAGGCAGCTCAGTCTCCAAGTGGGTACCCTAGGAAGGGAAGCAGGGGCTGTCTCTGTCATGAACTCAGTGGCAGGCTCTTTGATCACCTCCCCCTGATGGGGCACAGCCTTGCCAGACCACAGAGGAAGATGGTGCAGCCAGCCCTGATGAGACCTGATAGGCTAGGGTCAGATAGGGGAGGAGGACCTCCCCTATCAGTGGACTGGGGGAGGGGCATAGGGGGAGAAGAAGGAGAAAGAGTAGAACTGGAAGGAAATGAGGGAGGGGGCTACAGCTGGGATACAAAGTGAATAAATTGTAATAAATAACCAATAAATATTAAAAAAAAAAAAAGAACACTCACACCCATTTTAGGAACCTCACAACCACCTGTAACTCCAGCCCTAGGGGATCTGACACCTTCTTCTGCTTCCTTCAGGGGGGAAAAAGTCCCTTCATACTTCACGTATGACTGAAACAACCTCTGTAGGCTATTCAGAAATGCTGCTCGTGGTATGAAGAGGACAATCGCCCTTAAACAGTCTCGTGAACAAGACATTCTCTGTGAGATTGAGGCCAGCCCTGTTTACATAGCTAGTTTCAAGCTATTTAATGGGACTCTGTTGCAAAATAAGCAAGCAAATAAATTAGATATAAATTTAACCCTTTCAAAGCTTTGCCGTGAAATTACTACACATTATGTAATTGCTAGTTTCCTCTGAGTTATTTTGTTTGTTCACCGTTACTGCCTTCCCCCAAAACAGAAAGAGCCATTTATAAATAACAGATTAGTGAACGAAGTTAAAGAAGCTTTATTTTTCCTTTACCCTTCAATTTGCATTAATTGGTAGCAGCCATGAGAAACAGTGCCAACCTCACCTCAGGTCAAATGACTAAACAAAATGAAGGGCTTCATGCCCACAAATAAATGTGAATCAGTTACAAAACTGGGTCTTGAGAAACTACAAAATAACCACACTAACAACATATCTGTGACCCAATTTAAAAAGGTGTAAAAGACACACATTCTGAACTACAGTTGTTCCAGGAAAGGATTCTCATCATGACTTTGGGTGGTCTCCTTTGAGCTCTGAGCAAATTCCTGAGTCTGTGTTTTCTGAAGAGAAGAGTTAAAGCCAGGCATGTTTAGGTGTGGAGGGTTTAGGCTTCAGCACAGCCGAGTTACCACTCCGAGCTTGTCTACTGGACAGACTTGAATTAAGTTGCCTTGCAGAAACACAACACAAAAGAGATTCGGGGACCACGTCCATGGCACCAACTTCTCTGACTCTTAACAGTTTTGACTCAAAAAGCAGTGCCTGTTCCCAGGCAAGCGCAACAAGCCCATGACATCAGGCTCCCCAAGTGCAGCCCCTCATCACTGTCTTCCTTACTGCTGGGCATGATACTTCATCTTTCTCCTGCCCTTTCCTAATCTGAAAAATCAGCCTGTTAATGCTGTCTGTCTCATGTGGTCACCCCGAGAACTAAAGCCTGTGAAATTAGTAGTACAAACCATACAGTATATGTAACAAAAATTTGTGAATGAAGTGTGGCCTCTGGCCCCAGCAGTCTGGAGACTGAGGGAGAAGATTGAAAGTTCTGAGCCAGCCTGGGCTACATAGTGACTTCCAGGCTTGTCTGGGAAACAGAGGGGAGACTATCTTAAAGAGAACATAGTAAAATAAAAACGTTAAAGAAATTTTCAATGTGAATCAGGTGAGGCTTTGTACTGTTTTCATGTAACCAAGTTCAAAACTATTCTTTAGGGTCTAAATCAGAGTTAAATTATGAAATTAAATTATATCCATTTATATTCAATATCTATCTCTATCTCTCTCTATAGTGAAGTTTAATATCATCTCTACAAAGGCACTATTTATTTTTATTTTTTAGATATTAATGTGAGGCTAAGGGTGTGATGTACTCAAAACTGCAAGAAAACCAAGGCAGCTTCACTCTATTGACTTTCTCTTTGTAAATGCTTTTTAGGATAAATCATGCTTCTCCATGCATTGGTGTCTGGTCCCCTACTATCAGCATTTCTACTCACAGTGAGACAAACTTGGAGGTTTCAGATTTGAAGGTTTATGACAAGAGCAGTGCAGAGGAATTTTGAAGAAAACAGATGGAGACCACTCCTGTGTAGTACGGCACATGTGTTCTGCATGCAGTGTGGACGAGCCTCCATGAATACAGCAGAAAAAAACCTGTGCATGCCCAACATGTGTAGCACAGTGTTGAGTGGCCAGGGATTCTTTTGACTATGTTAAACGGAGCTCTGTTCATACTGTAAACACAGGGCGAGGGGACAGCACCCGAGTGCTCATGCACTGTGATGGGAGAGCTCTTCCGTATATGTTTTGATACCCTGCTGGGTAGAGTCTTTCAGAGGCCCTCTGTGGTAGGCTCCTGTCCTGTTCCCTGTTTTCTCCCTCTTCCAATGTCCATCTAGTTTGCCTTTCCTAATGAAGATTGAGCGTCTTACCAGGGTCCTCCTTCTTGCTTGGCTTCTTTAGGTGTACAGATTTTAGTATGATTATCCTATATTATATGTCTAACATCCACTTGTACAACCAGTTTGGAAATCAATCTGGTGCTTTCTTAGATAATTAGAAATAGTGTTACCTCAAGATCCAGCTATACCACTCCTAGGCATATATCCAAAAGATGCTCAAGTGTATAACAAGGACATTTGCTCAATCGTGTTCGTAGCGGCTTTATTTGTAAAACCCAGAACGTGGAAACAACCTAGATGTCCCTCAGTTGAGGAATGGATACAGAAATTGTGGTACATTGACACAATGGAATACTACTCAGCAATTAAAAATGAGGAAATCATGAAATTTGCAGGCAAATTTGCAGAGAAGATCATCCTGAGTGAGGTATCCCAGAAGCAGAAAGACATACATGGTATATACTCTATATATTCTTAGGGACATAATGATTTTACTTTTTCTCTTCATTACCCTTTCCATAAGGTCAGGGGGCCAGCCCATCCCCAGTCAATGGATCTTGGAAGGTACATTGAGACAAACATGCTTGCGTCTGTAGTAGGTAGGGAAAGGAAGCAGTTATCTCAGGAACCAGCTTCTCAATAAGCTTAAACAGCACGTGACAATTTAGAAATGTAATATTTATGACACACAGCAATATAAACAAAAAGGCACCCATCCCAAGCCAAGAAATAGTGGCTCACTGCTGTATTCCCAGTATTTATAAGACTAAGCAGGAGGACCACGACTTTAGGATCAGCCTGAACTATAGACTGAGTTCAAGGACAGCCTGAGCTACAAAAATGAGACCTTGTCTCAAAAACAAAACATAAAAATCACTCATAAGCACACTGTTGCCATGGATACATAGATATTTTTGTGAATACAAAAAAAAAAAAACAGTAAAGACTGGCAATTTATAAATCAACTTGGGATTCAGGCTTGGGGTGGGATTATCAAGGAAATTATACCAATGCTCTTTTTATTACTTTGGTGAAGCAGAAAGAACAGATGTGAAAGGGGGGAAAGGCCATCTTCAGATCTGGGTGTCAGGAATCCAGATATATATGCTCCTAACTTCTGCCTGTGACTTCTGAGTTCCCCAAAAGAGTCACAAAAATTATGACGACACAGCTGAGAAGCAGTGTCACGTGGGCAGTGGGGACTCTCAGACACTGCCCAACTCCGTACTTGCCCCCAGCAGGTGCTACCGTGTGTGTCTGTCTGCAGAAAATGTCCCCAGTAGGCCACACAGAACATACTCTCTAGGCAACTCCACTTTGTGCTGGTATGAGGCCCCATACAGCTCCCTCTCTCTGGGGCAAAGAGTAACACATTCAGCACAGGGATCCTGGCTCATCAGGGAAGTAGGAAGCTGCCTCTCATTTGCATAAAATCTCTCAACACCCCTCCCCATCCGGGGAGGTTCTTGTTTGCCTCTCAGCATCGTTCAGGCTGGGAGTGTAACACTCTTGGGTGTTGTTCTTGAAGCCCCATAGAAAAGTAGGCCTTTGGGAGGCAGGAAGTTGCTGCTGCCTGAGCTCTGTGATGACAGCTCTGTGTTACGGTCTCTTTCCAGGAAACTATGTCCAGTTCAGAATGAGATTTCATCTAAGTCAATTTGCATTTATTCAAAATCGGAGTAGCTCTGAAACCAGACACCATGTAAAAACAGAAATAAGAGCAAGTACCAATTCATCAAATGTTGGGGAAATTAAGTAAATTTTAAAATTTTATATTTATCTTGTGTTTTCTTTTTTTTTCAGATCTGCAGTTTCCCTCTCATCAAAGGACCTGCATGGTAGCACCACGTTCCACACATGACTTAATGAATTAGAAGGTCAGAGGTCAGCCTTCGCTTGCTGTTTACCCTTGCGGTTATTTTTGTGTGTTCAAACTTGTGGCATCACCACTTTTTTAAAAGTTTATTTAGCATAACGGAGGTTGATATTCCAGACAAATACGAGATGTTATGTGGCTAAAACTGTATCAAGGAAAAGAGATGGGCAAATTTACTCAGGCGAAGAATGGCAGTCACAGAATGTGGGATGGAAATAGCCATTCCTCTTATTTCACAAGAAAATTGTGCTTGAAGAATCCAATTCCATCTCAAGTATCTTTTCCTTGAGTGCTAAAGAAAAGAAAACCCAAACAAGAATTAGATAAGCCTGGCTGGAGTGAGCCAGGGAGGGGGAAGCGGGTGGAGGGAGGTTTCCTTGGTTTGCTGATAACTCCTCTGGATTCCCCCTTCATCTAGAGGTGTGTGGTAATATCAGGCAGCTTGTTTGGAATGCTCAACCGTAATTTTGAAGCCGGCTTGTTTTCATCATTAGAATGACTGTTTTCGTTTGTCCCTGCATCTGAGGCTATGTCAGTGCTTTCCTTTCTGTGTTTATTATTTTTAGTAGTTTAAAAGCTCACCATAAAAAAAGGCAGTGGGTACTGTGCAGGCCTGGCCTGCGTCTGGCGGAGTCCATGGGAGTGTTGGCTGGCAGCGGCAGCAGAGCCCTTTGAATGCTGTCTTTGTGCTTCACTTTGCCTGTGGCCTCTGGCCATTGTCTAGGCTCCCTGGTTGTGCTAGTGCTGTCTGATGGCAAGCAGTACTAACATTACAGTTCTTGGTGCCCAAGCCCTCCCTTGGGAGCCCCTGTCTGGCTGCCTCTGCTCCCCCCACCCTTCTCCAGGGCTGTCATGCTCCTATCAGAACACAATATTGCTAGTGTACGGGCTGTCATGCAAACAGGATCACTTAAGAATCTTGAGATGTTCGGTTTTCATACAAAAATTCAATGATCAGTATTTCCCATGCTGCCAACATGGTACATCCCCATTAATTATTTTCCCCCTTTCCCAAATACAACCTTTTGGTGAGCCTCAATTTGTACAGTATGGAAAGGGACAGCTGTGCTGTCTGAGGATGAGAAGGCTAGCCCCCAACCTCTGCTTTTTCCTCATCCCTCCTCCAACCGAACTGTCATCTGAAGTCCTCCGCCTCCACACAGAACTCTAGGAGATCTCAAAATACCCACACATGTTCCTGCAGACACAGAAGCCACAGAGGAATCTCTACACGCTCGAAGCATGAAGGACTAGACCCAAAGAAGCAATCTATGAATCCGCTTTTGTATATTCCTAGAAAGGGCTTGGTCAGTCTATAGCAGTAGAAATGAGTGCAGTCATTGTTACCTCCGGCAGAAGTGGGAATTGGCCAGGAACCAGGAGCATAAAGGAATTGTCTGAAATGACAGGGTGCTGCATAGCGTGTGCCCCCCATGGCCTGTGTCAAAACTCATCAGTTCACCCTAGACTACAAATTAGCATTACATGAACAGAAAGATAAAGAGGAAATAAGCACAGAAAAATAAGCTAGGCCTTCAGTGAATGAAAAGACAGGAGCCAGATAATTTGCACCTGAACAACTTATGAAAGCTACATGGACTACACTGTGTGTCGTAACACAGTTCCTGGGGTTTGGGGAGGCGTGGTGTCTTCTTTGCTTGACAATCACCCACCTAACATAATAGAATAGCTACTTTTTTTCTTTTCTTGTTCTTTCTTTCTTTCGTTTTTTTTTTTTTTTTTTTTTTTTTAATCTTCACCTACTCCTTTGGATGCTTTTCAGTGGCTATAAAATGCAAACTTCTGTTCATTAAAGCCGAGACAGGATGAAAAGTGGGCCTCCGTGTTATCTATAACAGCAGCTCCTGGACTCTGCCTCTTGCTCTTGGCTTTCTAACTGCCACTGGCTACACATCCTACTGTGACATTTGACCTTCTCTTAAGCCCCTTCCTCAGCCTGAAACGCTTCAGACAATTCTACTTAAATCTCTCCAGGCCTTTGTTTAGAGGTTGGCAGTAAAATGAAAGGTGACTATTTAGGCTGACCTAAGGAAGAGGAGACTCAAGACCTACCTGGGAAAAACTGACAGGAAGGTGGCAAAAAGTTTTTGAAAAGGAAGTAAAGGGACCCATGAAAGGGTCTCAGGGATCCAGAGCAGGAAAGATGCTCCAATGTGCCACACAGCCTTTGAGGCCACAATGCTCTTCTTCTGACAGGACAAATTGTCTGGGACTTGGGAGATTTCCCAACAAAGGGCCAAGGCAATGACGACCCCTAGTGCACCCACAGGAACACAGATTAGTTCACTAATGAAGCTACGGTAAAACTGAATCATCTATAAAACATTTTTTAAATAACAGAACATTTTTTAACCCACACATGCCGTGCTTTTCCTGCACATGACGCAAATTTCCTAATCAAACCAAATTTAATTTAGCAGATTTTCTTCCAACCAGCTTACTGTGCATGAGAGCAGAAATGGAATTATGTAACTCAAGAGTCGGAGCAGTATTCGCTTCCTTGTGACTCTACTTGTTTCAAGTCGTTGAGAGTCAGTTTAACCAAATGGAAAATACCAAGACAGAAGGTGCCTATTTCTCCACTCCAGTGGCAGGAAATATAGAACCAGGGTTGGGATATGCCCCACCCCCAATAAAATACCCCTACTCCCTCCCAATACAACATGTGATTTCAGTTGTTTATGAACTGATGGTAAGGGTAAGATGTCAATAACTGAAATGTAGTCCATGGATATTTTCCCATTCGTTTTATTTTTTTACCATTTAAATGATACACCTAATATAACCAGACCTAGCCACCTAATATAACCCAGCCAAGTGTGGTGTTTTATACCTGTAATCTTAGCATTTGGAAGGATGAATCAGAAGAAGAATTCTTCATGAATTCAAGGCCAGCATGGGTTACATAGCAAGTTCCAAGCCAGCCTACATAGCATAGTAACACCCTGTCTCAAAAAAAGATATACATGTACATATATGTGTGTGTGTGTGTGTGTGTGTGTGTATGCATGTATGTATGTATGGGGGTTTGAGAGAGAGAGCCAGGCAGATTATGAAGCTGCCATAGTAAAACAGTGAACTGTTTCATGCACAGCATGAAGACCTGAGTTTGGTCCCCGCATCATCATAAAATACCAGGCAGAGTGGCTTGCACTTTAAGATCTTTGTGAGAGATCCTATCGCAAAGAACACGGTGTATGCCTCCTGAGAAATGATACAGGAGGTTGACCTCTGGCCTCCACCTACATGAGTGTGCATGCACACCACCCACTCATATGTCGTATATGTGTTTCATATATTGCATATTATGTTATACATGTATACATGATCAGATTCACAGAGGCTGAGTGTAAGATGCTGGTTGATATTGTCTGTCAACAGAATAAAGTGTATGAAAATGTTGTCAATGGACAAAAAGTTTCTTTCCCACAAGATGAGTAAGCTGTAAACATCTGTGATACAACATTGTATACTATTATTTTGCAGTTTCTAATACTACATTGTGTACTTAACAAGAGAGTAGATTTCATATTAAGTGTTAAGACCACAGTAAAAATGAAAAAAGTAATGTAAGATGAAACAAAAATTAAAGAAAATAAAGAATACTGTTGTTGTGTAGAACAATCCAGAACCGAAGCAGGCTGCTAGCAGGCTCGTGCTTTTGACATCTTCTCTTGACCTGGCTTCCTACTTGTGTCATAACAAGTAGGCTGTTCTCCTCTTACTGTCTCTAATCTCGTTCATTCTTCCTTCAGGCCTCACCTATTAACTTGCTCCCTACACCCACTGGATCTGCTCTTGCTCTTGTTTTTTTTTTTTTTTTTTTTTTTTTTTTTAAGCAGCAGCCAGAACATGTTCAAACAACACATTCCTGGAAGGGCTTTTCACAAGGGAGGTGTCCTGTTTTTCCCCTTCCACTTTCCTCCAGCTATTCTCTCTAGTGTTGCTATTGAGCTAAAAACAACCGAAAGCAGTCTAACAAGGGAACAGCTACCACGCCATGCTTTTGTTGCTTCCATTGCCTGTTTCTAGAGCAGGAGATAGAGGGTGCCAGGGAGCCATGTCTGAAGACTTTACTGTCACAGAAGTGTCCCTCTGTCCACTGAGACAGATGGGCCCTTAACTAGACCTTCCAGTCTGAAACAAATCAATGTATCCTGTCAGCTATTGGCTTTGTAAAAAGCTAAATCTGTGAAGAGAATTTAGAGACTACCATAACAGGAAACTATTAAAAAAAAAAAAAAAAACCATAGCTTGAACCCAAAGTTTCCTTTTGTAGCAGGAGGCGGGGATCTAATCATCAGAGGTTTGGATCCTTTTTTTCATTTCTTAGCTGCCTCTTCCAGCTAAGAAGGACTTAGCTCCTCCAGACTTCGTGGTTCAAACTTCCTGCTGGAGCGCTAGTCTTCACATAGGAATTCTAGACAGCTGGAAAGCTGGACTGTAGGGGTAAAAAACACCATGTTTTTTTCTGGTTTTTGTTTGTTTGTTTGTTTTGTTTTGTTTTTTCTCCTGCTTTGTATAGAATTCCACTTCTACACTACCTTCAGTGCTGTCCACTGGCTCTTAGCTGCAAAGGAGCTGGCAAGCATACCTGGACACCTTGCCAGGTTGAAGGAATGTGGAAACTGGTCCTGAGGGAACATCCAGACCCCCAAGCCTGGTCCCAGTTAGGCAGCTCGTGGAGGCTCTTCTGGGTGCGGGTGCATGAAGCTACCTACCCGTGCAGTTCAAACCTTTGCAGAGAATGTATCCTCATCTATCTGCACGGTGATGGTGTCTATTCATTTGCACATGCATCTATAGCCAGGGAAACCCAACTAGATATAAACTAAGCTCTTAAGAAAGCGATCTAGACAAATGAAAGGGTTTCCTGGTCTCTTTCTAACTGGAAAATCAGCAAGACTCCCGTGATACAGTCTATCAGCAGTGCATAAATAATGCATAGCTAAGGATGAACACACATACAACAAAAGCAAC